TCCCCCCCCCCCCCCAGTTTATCCATCATTTAAAAAGTATGAATTTTGACTGTAATTAACAGATGACTACAATTAGATTCTTGGCTATAGCCATTTTATTAACAGGGTAACAATCCTGCCTAGCAAAGCAGACATTTGGGACTGAGCAAACCATGTTTCTGCCTCCAGTATATCTTAAAAGACCAACTGGCAGAGCGTCTTTGTAGGTAGCATAAACTTGCCTGTTAAAGTCATTTGGCCGGAATTGTTTGCAGTCCGGCTGACTGTGCTTATAAGCAAGAAGTTTAATGCTTTAAATTGCTGTTAGTCATTTTCAAGGAAAGCAGGGCTACTCCCAAGTAAATAAGGTCAGTGAAACGTATGTAATGACTGGTTATTGGATGAGTGGGCAGCTGCTTGGGAGAACCAGATGGAATATGAATATATGTGGGTGGGAGGGAATTGAGGCAGATAGTGCCTGGGGATATATTGTTCCTCTGCCGTGAGTTGCTGTCCCTGCCTTCTCTTTCTGTGTAGGAATTAGCAAGGACCCACCTGTTTCTGAAGAGCTACTGTGGTACTGCAGTTCCCAACTGTTCTTGCATGCTTGAGGCTAAGGATTAAGAGGATGACCCAAAAGCTGTGTGTTGGACATGCTGCAGGGAGAGAGTCTCCCTCAGGGTTGTGGTGTTACCTTTAAATTAGAATTTCAAAATTGATTAATGTCTTTTCTTTTTCTTTGTCTCCACCACAGGATGGGTCACTGGGAAATATTGATGACCTGGCACAGCAGTATGCAGACTACTATAACACCTGCTTCACAGATGTGTGTGAGAGGATGGAAGAGCTGCGCAAACGGAGGGTTTCCCAAGACCTTGATATGGTAGGTAGAGAAGTTATGACTTTATTAACAAATGATTGCCATTCATGCCTCGGATGAAGAATCAATATTTCAGCCTGAGGAGTTCTACCCAGGGAAATAACTATATGTGATTGTGTTCACGCACACAAATGTTTCAGCCAACTCAATGAAACACTTGGAAATTAGCAGGATTATTTTTTTTTCTAGGTATTTGTTATGATTCATTAAGCCTTGGAGCCTGCATTTCTTAGTTCTTCTTTAATTAGAGTACTTGTTGCTTGCGCACATGTGTTTGCAAACCTCAACTCTTAAGAGGCAAGACTGTCTGACAAAAGCATCATTTCCTTGCTCCAAGATGCTCCCAGTGTGAGCACAACAAAACTGTGCTGTTTTTCAGTTACACTGTACAAACTGTTGAAGTACTGCTTCTCAGAACTCGAAGGTGCAAATACTGGTTTCAGGCTCCCAAATGTAAGCAATCTTCAATTTTGTGAACCCTTTTCCATTATTGCACGTTACAGGACCTGTAGCGGGGGACATTGGGTCACCAAGTCCTTCAGGCTAGAAGGGACCTCAGGAGGTCTCTAATCCAACCTTCAGCTCAAAGCAGTGTCAACACTGTATTCAAACCAGCTTGCTCAGGGCTTTATCTGACTGGGTTTTTAAGACCTCTGAGGATGGAGGCTTTCAGCCTCTCAGGGCAACCTGTTGTACTGCTTCACTGTCTTCATAGTGAACTACTCTTTTTTTCCTGATATTTTATGAGATACCCCCCATGGCAATTTATACCTGTTGTCTCTCATTCTCATGCCGTGCACCACTGTGAAGAACCAGGCTCAATCTTTTTGATAACCTCCCCATAGGTACCAGCAGGCTGCCAGTAGGTCTCCTCGAAGCTGTCTTTTCTCCAAGCTGAATCTCCTAGCTCTTCTTGCAGGGCAAGGGCTCAAGTCCTTGAGCACCTTGGTGGCCCTCCCCCAAAACTTACTCAAGTTTATCAATGCCTGCCTAGCATGCGGGACTGCAGAGCCAGAGGCGGTGGTCCAAGCGTGGCCTGACAGGTGCCAGGGAAAGGGGAAGAATCGCTTCCTTTGGTCTCCTGGCTACACTGGTGTTGGCACAGTGTGGGCTGCTGCTGGCTGCCATTGCTGCTCGGGTGTGCTGCTGGCTCGTGCTAAGCCTGTGGTTCCCCAGGCCCTTTCTGCAGAGTAGGCTGGTCCAGCCAGTCAGTCCCCAGCCTGTGCCCGTGCATGGGCTTACTCCTCCTCAGGAGCAGGACTTTGCGTTTGTCCAAGTTGAATCTCATGAGGTTCCTTCCAGGCCACTCTGAATGGCAGCCCTGCTCTCGAGCGTATTGACTGCAGCCTGAGGTGGGCATCATCCATTACCTTGACAGGGGTGCCCCATCCTCAGGTATCTAACAGGATAGGCCTCTGCACTACTCTGCTTGTAATTGGCCTCCAAGTACAGCACATTAATTAAATGCTACTCTGAAAGCCCAACTAGCCAGTTTTTCACCCATTCAGTTGTGTAGACTCCCTGGGGGGGTCCCACTTTAGCCAAAACTAATCTATATGCACGTCATCTCCATACCTCATTTTTGTTAGATTTAAGGAGGAACCTTTTAGGAGGCCTATCACAAAAACATCAAGTGTTTTCACTTGTTGGACAATTTCCTTACTGTCCTGTAACATTAGTAAATGTTTGTCGCTACTTAGGGTATGTATTACTGATTGCTGTGCTTTTTTCATTGTAAACTTCTTTGTTAGTTTTCATAACATTCATAAAGATCATCTGTGACAGAGCAAAAAGCTTTTAGGTCTGCTTAGTTACGTCTTCAGCGTTAAGTTTGTGTTTCCCAACTGTACTGTATGTTTTTACATACCGGACTTACAGATATTTCCTTCAAGTCTTGTCTTGCAGAAAACAGATTACTGAAGGAATTATTTTTTTGTCACTTATGGTTTTGCTGTGTTGGTAACTTTCGTATAACACATACAGAAACTCATAAGCAAAGTATGGTTAATACCTCTGCTGAGGCAGAGCCAGCATGGGATCTGATCACAATTCTGCAGTTCCTCTACAAGATCAAATAAGACAAATTTGGGACCTGAAGTTGTGTAATTGTGTCTTCTACCTCTGCTTCCCCAGATCCTAGCACTGACTAGCAGCAGGGAGTGGTTTGTGTCCTTTCTCTAGCAGCTGTACCTGATGACATAGATTACTTAAGGCTACTTTCTTTCTTCTTAGGATTCCAGTTTAGCAACCGAGAGGCTTCCAGAGCTCGTACACAGTACAAACTTCAGTTACACAATGAAAGACTGCAGGATCAAGGCAGAGAGAGTCATCTCCTCTGCCCCACTGAAGTTTCCTAGTTCCTTCTTTATTTTTAAATGAAAAAAACAAAACAAAAAAACCCCCAAACCAAACGTATTTTGCAGATCTGTTGCTGCCAAGAAGTTCCAAGTGTTCAACAAAAGGTTATTGTGGGAAATCCCTTTGTAGACAGACCCTTGAGGCTTCTGTGCAAAGAAGCTGATGGCACAGAATCGTGGTTCTCGTGAAAACCCTCACGCTTGGCATACCTGGTATTCTGGGTAGCTGTTGGCAGCAATGAAACCCCCTTTCCTGGCGCTCTTGGAAGGTGGCTCCTGTGCTGAGTAATGAAGCATGCCTTGTGGTGGGAGAGGACTCCCTTCCATTTAGACAGATGGGCCTAATTTGGCTCCCTTCACTTTGGAAGCTGCAGAAGCCAGGCTGGGGAAAGCCATGTGAGCTTAATTAACTCACATCAAAGGTGCAGAGCTTCACGCTGGTTTAAATAGATGTGAGCTAACCCAAGACAGACCAGCAAGGGATTCACTAGCTCATTCTGCTCAAGAGAAGCTGTAGTCGGAGAAAGTGGCTGTGCGAAAAGGTGTCCTGGAGATTCCTCTTCAGTGGCTCTCATATTGAGTTTGCTCACTCTAGTAGTCCAGTGATGACTTCTTGAACTGCCAGGTCAGAGAGAAGATATTGCAATTGAAAATGAAATTAGTGCTCAATTTTTTGCTACATCTGTCACCACGATAATACAGTTTCTGGACATCAGATAGCCATTCTGTTGATAACACATGAGACTATAGATATTAGCTCACTTCCACAACAACAGCATCCAAACAGCGCTGACTGCAGCTGAAACTTGCTCGCATCCATAAGTAGGCAGGCTTGACTTAGGTACATAGGGCGTGGGAAATGGCCGTGTTGACTAGAACGCATTTTCAGTGTGACAGAGTAGTATGCTTGTGTTTAATCTGCTGCAGAAACAAGAATTGGTTTAAACAGCAGAGCTGCTGAAGTGACTGCAAAAGTACTAATGTGAAAGAACAGAAGAGCAACTCATTTGTTGTAGTGTTTTTCCTCTCTTTACAGCTTGGGGAAAGGTAGTGTATTTGCAGAGCTTTTGGAATAGTGAATGGGGAGTAATGCTGGGGGAAATGCCAGCTTCATAGCATATCCCTGATGTGCTATGATAGTAAAATATATGCACCGAATAGCAAATACATGCACCCCCAAAATTATTATGCACCAGCATTATTGGGCTGTTAGTCTAGCCTGGCTTTGCTCTGCTGTACACTGCTGTCCTAGCTGGGATGAGGAGAGACAGTGCTGTCATATAGATATATACCTTCTGTATATATCTACCCCCACCCCCCGCCAATGGTCTTCTCCCTCTCTTTAGCAAAACGACAGAACAGAGCAGAGCTGATATGCATGTAGTGCTAGTGCAAATTTCCAGGGGTTTGCTGGAGTGAAGGTTACTGAATCATGCGAGGGGGGTACCATAGGATAAACCCAACCCCTGCACTGAGATCAGGTCTAAACGAGGAATAAGGAGGCAGCGGGGAGAGCCTCTGTTAACAGCTATCTCAAACCTGCAGATCCCGTGTGCAAAAAATTTCATAAAGCAAAAGGTATTGGGATACATCTTTAGATTTTATAATCATGAAAGAGTAGGCAATCAGCAGCTGTGATATAGCTGGGAGACTGCAGCTTGATTTTTGGATGGCAGTTCTGATATTTTCCTCTGAAATTCAGTATGAGTGATAAATACTATGTAGCAGAAACATAAAAGGCCAAAGTTAGGGTTGGAGCTGCTTTTACTGAATGCTCTGAACAAAGAGAAAGAGTGGGTCACCCCAGGGGTCGAAGCGTCCTCTAAAAGTTGCACAGAGAGGCTGCGTCAGGAGGAGCAGCGTACTAACAAAGAAGTGCCTGAGCTGGCAGAGCTTTGCCAGGAACAGGTCTTTAGCACCGGCTCGCCCAGATTGCCCTTTGTAGCATGGGAAGGACAGAAATATGAGCTGTTTATTGCTGCTTCTGTACATGTTGAAATCATTTTAAGCTGTTTGGGAGCAAGTGTTGATATTTTGATTGTATATTGTACTTTCTAATCAGCTCTCCAACCTTTCCTATCAGACCACAGCCATTTCAGTCTGGATATCCTGCTCTGGAGTTGAAGTTTTAAAAAAAATCACTTGGTAAAATTGTTTGGGAGAGCAGCATATCTTGTAACAAAACAGTAGCTGCAGATGGAGCTGAACACAGAGTATTTTTCCAAATGGTCGTGCCGTCAAGGATTGTTAGTTGTCCCTAACCACAGTAACTGCTTTTTGCATTTGGAATTTTGCCTCTGTTTTTGTAATGCAGAATGTGCTTGGGTTTGGACATTAATGTTTGTGAACAGCATGGGAGTTGCCCACATTTCCTAGCATTTGGCCTATTCCTGTGCACCATGTGGTTTTTTGGCTGAGGAGGAACTGCAGTCGGAGTAGATATAGTGGATTTTCAGGACCATAATGGATGTATCACTGGTAATATTGAGCTGGACATCTGCTAAAATGCAGTTAGGGCCAGAAAAGTGACTCAGTGAGGATGGCACCTTGTTACCGCTCATATCTGCTTCCTTTGTGTCTTCAGGATCATATCTGCCTGGCTCACTGACAAAACCAGGTTCGCCTTGCCTGTCAGCAGGGCAGGAT